ACGTATGGTTAATATGATTGCTAGTTATTTTCATTATTTAATTCAGTCAATAATACGTTCCAAAAAAATGACATTCGTTTCTCCAGTAATAATCGGACTTGCCTCACTTTTTACCCTTATTAGCGTTATTTATTTATTTCATTACTGTTGATGCTTCATCACTATTCTTCGGATAGTGATGCGTTACTTAAAATTTATTCGAGATTGTGTAAATAGATTTCTAGTAGTCGTGAATAAAGTTTATTATTATCGTGAAAAAAAGAAAAATATTAATCGTTGCAAAGTAGAAAAAAAATGTTTATGTTATACGTTTTTTCGTCTTAGTTCCTGATGTCTGAATAACCTTGACTTGTGTGTTAACATTCTTTCCTTTGGGATTCATCCATGATGTTACCTTTAATGTTGATGTCTCAACACTTTTGAGTTCTTTCTTTTGAGTATTTTGTTGTTGTTCGATGTCGATTTCAGTATCAGTGGTTGATGAATTTTGTTTTTTCTCGAGGCCTTTTAGAATAACAAATGTGTGATATAAAAGAATTGTATCATCTAGATCAAACGTATTAATATCTGCATCCGTAATATTGCCAGTCCATAAGTCTTTTCTTTCGAGATAATATTGTAATGGTACTTCAGTATCTACGTTGACATTCGAAAGAACACGAATCATCACTCTTTTGAGTATGCCAATCCAACAGTCAATGCTCTCCAGAGATGCAGCAATTTCTTTTTTACCAAATGTCGTTGCAATAAATTTTTCGACAAGTTGTGTTCGTTCGACAACTGAAAATGATTCTTCGCACCATGCTTGCTTAACATAGTTTCGTAAAACTTGATCAAATACACACTCTTCTAATAATTCATACAAATCAATTATATATGTCAGATGAATAGTGGAAAACGGCCGCTTTTGACGGACATTATCACTAAGACAAGTCTGCCAACGAATGTTTTTTTCGACAAATGTTTGAATTGTTGGCACTTCAACATTTGGATCCATATCTATATCTCTCAGATAAGTAAATACATAATCGAGCGAGCCAAGATAATTAACAATGTCATCATTATCCATTCCTTGTATGAGACCTTTGAGTTTTTTTCGTTCATTAGGTTCTAATGGCTCTTGTTTAACACGTCTTCTAACGTCGGTAATCAATGATGCATTTTCGGCATGAAGTTCAAACTGATAATTGAGATATTGTAATTTTTCAGTGTCAATAATAGGCAAATTGCTAATTTTGTTTCGTAAAACCAATTCAATTTCATCATAATCATAAATAATATCTCTACTTTTACCATATTCATAGTTAATCATAAAGCAATCAGTGACTAATTGTTCACTGATTTTTCCGGCATCAATTTCAAGTAAATGTTCAGGTCGAACGGATTGAACTGATACGACATGTTCCTTTCGTCGGCTTCCTGATGGATCAGTACCAATCGTATTATGAAAATAATTGACGACTTCATTCTGTAATTGACCAATTGTTTTTAAACTCGCTGCCAGTAAGATACTAGTTGCATCTTTGGATGCGTTCAATAAAACCACAGCAATCATTGTATTCTTAGCAAAATCTTCTTTTACATGTACATGTTCAATTTTAGCTGTTTGACAATCAAATCGAACTTCTGTTAAATTGAGCTTATACCATGCATCGAGAAATGATTCATAAAGTTTTGAAGTTGTCTCACAATCAGGTCCATTAGTTAAATAATATTCGATTGTTGTTGTAGCAGCATCGTTTCGTTTAAGACGATGATTAAATTTATGGATAACATAATTCGTGAATGTGACAATAGGATACAGATGTTGAATATTTTCATAGGTTGCTAATCGTTTCATTAAAAATGTTGTTATTGGATAGATCTTTTCACTGTACGGTATAGCTTGTAGTTTAGTGAGAAACTTTTCGATGGGATTCGTTGCATAAATATTGGTAATATTGAAAAATGTTAACAATGAATATTTAGCTTCATTTTCAAAGAGTTCATCGACAAAATATTGTAATCGTGAATTTTCGCTTTGTTCTTGGACATACTCAGCAAATGATCGTTTATAATCATTAATTTCCGTTGGTACGGAATCAATGTGAGCGAAAATGAGTCGTTCTTCAATCAATTTTTCTAATTCGACTACTTTCTGATTTTGGTTAAGTACACCCTTCAGTAAAAATGGTTCGTCAAGCATGTGATTAATCAGTTTGAATAGCCATACATGACAGTTTTCAGTATCATCGCATTGTTGTCCAATCAGAGCATAATCTTTTTCGAAATGTTTTTGAAAATAGTCTCGGTTTGGCAGGGTTGAATTTGTTAAAAATTCCAACTCGTCTAGGAGAAGTAGAGTGGCATGAGTGAACATGTGCATAAAACGAAACGATACAGGTCGATTGAGATGTTCAGACTTTTCACCGACGTTGCTCTCCTCAACATTGGTAATGCTATAATATCCAAAATGATCGTTTTCATTATACTTCTTGATGTAATTATCAATGAACTGAAAACCAGTATCTATAGGCATTGCGATCTGTGGTGGTGTGCGAACAATGAGTTTATTATAGACTGCAGCACCAATATCCTTTTTGCACAACGAACATTTACTTTGAGAGGCTGGACGACCACAACCTTCGAAGTAAAACGTCCAAGGACACTCTTCGGAGCATTTATAAATGAATTTGGCGTCTGGATAGATCTCACCTCTTTCTAAACGTTCTTTTACTCGTGTTCTTACATCAAGCATCTGTTTAATGGCAGAATCACTTGAGAGAAGACCAGGTAAACATAGTGAGAATTGTAAGCGTTCTGAATAGTTATTTGGCATTTGACGATTGTCATCAAAAAGTAAAGATCCAAAATACGTAATATAATTGAGTGATTTAAATGAGAGAAGGTAAACAGCAATATTTAAAACAACTAAACGTTGATGGACTTCTGCGATATTCATGTTCGGTCGAAGTCGAAAATAAGAAGTATTACTAAAGTTTTTACACAAAGAAATAAGTAGTTTGGAGCCAATTTCATCGAAACATGCACAGATCTGTTGACTGAGTTCAGCTGTAAATAACCGAACCCATTTATCATCTGCCGGTGTGGTATTTGTCGTATAAAAACGTGAATGGTAGTGAATAAACCAGACGAGAAAACAGTAGGATGATGTTTGATTTGTTTTGCAATCTGCAATCAATTGTCGCAAATGCTCAATATCAGGCTTGTATGCAAGTATATCGCTGATGCGTTTGAATTCATCGTGACATGTGAAAAGTGGTGTTGGCAAAATCAGATTACGTTGTGCTTCATTGGTTTGTTGATCTTGTGGCTTGTCAAGTATCGTTCGAGCCCAGACAACATTACGATTGGTAAATATTTCACGTAACGTATCGAGTTTAACATTAGATAGTTCACAGATTTGCTTGATCACAAACAGTTTAAGTGTTGAAGAGAGGGACGATTCATCTCGAGTTAGAAATTCATCAACCTTACTCATGGTTTCCTCATGACACTCATTGTTTAAAGCAACGGCATATAATTCCATATAGTATTTAATCCAGGCAATCAAACTGATTGATACTGAACTGTGATTGGATTGTTCATTTTGAAGCTGCTGTACGTTTTCTTCAAATTGTATGTAGTTGTTCGTGAGAATTTCTTCGGGTGTACCATGTTCGTTTGTATGAAGCATCAACTGTATATGAATGTGATTCACCAGTAATCGTTCGATTTTGCATGTGTCATCATTGGTCTTGTTCAAGCATTCGTCAAGTAACGTGAACTTATCGAGCTCTTCAAGTTGTCCATTGTTTGATAAGACCGTTGTAAATAAGTGCACTTCTTCTTGATCAATGAACGACAAAATTTTAGCTGAATATTGCCACAAATCATTCTTTGGTTTACTCAGCAATGCCAGTACTTCAGGATATTCTTCACTATTATCGGGTAACCAATTTTTAAAAAATTCCATTTCGAGTTTAAGTAATGTTCGGTGGCGATGCAGAAGAACATTGTCTGTAGGTGGCTCGCTATCGTTGAACCTATTACCTAAGTATTCGATAAATTCATGAATATCATTACAACTCGCAAATGTTGCATCGAATCCACCTAGACTACATGCATTCTCAAAAACATGTTTAGCTTGTTCAGCTGGAAATAAAGCCGTTATACAACGAACAAGACTAGCAAATGAACGTAGCTTTTCGAAATTGTTTACTGGGTATGAGTTGAGTGAAAGAATACTTTGTGTAACGCGATTGTAACAATTTACTAATTGTTCAATATTAGCGATACGACTAATAGTTGTCGATGAAACAAGAAGCTCAATTAAATTCATTAAATTTGTTTCTATCCATGGATCACCATGGCATTCAAATACGAAGTCATTTTCGCTGTCCATCATTGCATTCGGTGGTATTAAAGCAAATGAATTCGACTGTTCAATTAGTACCAAAGTGTAAAATACATTGTGGCCAGTGATAGATTCATTCAAGACATAATTTTGAATTGATTGTTTATTGAAAACATTTGTAAAAAATTCTTCGCCTACAAGTTGCATACTAATTTCAAAAATTCGCAAGACTTCGAATAATTCGACATGATCAATAAGGAGATGTTTGAGTTGATCTATTATCGATCGAGTTGGATTTAGTGTGAGTAAACGTTGAACAAATGACGTTGGTAACTGATAAACTTTCGCTTCATCCTGAGCGAGCGCAACTTGATCAAGATAATAATGTATGAATAAATCTCGATTATTGAAAATAAGCTTAATATTTTCTTTATAAACACTTTTATCGTTCAATTGTTTCATCGCTTGATTTATTAATTCATCACTTTGAATTCTTTCATCATTTTGACTACGTTTCATTGTAGCATCACGAATTTGACGAATAATTTCATATTCCGTTGTTGCACATGGTAAACATAAATTAAAAAATAGTGAAATTTCGATAACATCCTGATTCATCATTGTTCGATTGACTGTTTCAAGTGTTGATGTTAAAGCATCGTACCATATGCGATACAAATCATCGTGAATAGTCTTATTTTTTTCATTCGAAAGAAAATAATAAGTGTCGATAAATGAATATTGTTCGAGATGTCCAAAAAGAAGAACGAGATATTTATCGTAGAAGAGCATAATAGTCGCATGTAAAGCATCGTCAAATGAACGACACGATCCAATGATGGTTGGAGTTGCTAATAAATGATAACGCCAATCTGCAGCATACGAACCATAATTGCTAAATGGGATTGTATGCATCAATTTCGAAAGCCAATCTTCAACAATTGAACGTAATTTTTTCTCACTTTCATTTCCTATTGTTGATCGTGTAAAAGAATCAATAATACGATTTCGACGCTTGTTTATTTTATGTTTGTCTTGCTGATTCGCAACTGTATAGCGTATTTTAGTTAAACAACGACCAAGGAGATCATCGAGTGAACTACCCGAGACACGACATGTCGGATTTGTAACGAATTCAAGATACGATGAATTCGAAAGAATATCTCGTGGAATAAATTTATTATCGTTGAGATTGTTAATCATAATACTAGGCCAACCATTAAATATGACGTCGTTATCGATTTGATTGAGTAAATTTCGTTGAAGATGGAAGATAAACCAAACGCCGCAATTTCTATCACTAATATGTTCATTGAGTAAAATATGTTTGAGCAATAGAATGTGTTCATGTTCTTCATGATAATCCACACGAATGAGTAGAATACGAGCACTCTTTGAACGATAATGTTGTTTAATTTTATTTGTTAATTCAAGTTCTGTTTTGAAATTGCTCAGTTTGATTTCTTCAATAGAATCGCCATTTTTAATGCTATCAATCGTATGATATAATTGTGTGTAAGTGTATATAACTTGATTATCGATTATTTTCAGTTCCAATGCTTTTTTGATAAAATCTGCAAAGGATACATTTTCATGAAAATCATAGTACTGATCAATCAACGATTGACTTTCATCACTTTGTTTTAAAGACATAACCAATGGAAGATCGAACGAACTTGTATGCATCAATCTTTTCTTACAATACGACATAACAGCATTTGTATCATCTTCATTGTCTTCGAGACTATCTTCAATGGTAATCTGTAAAGATGTACATGCATCAATAACTAAATTACAGATAAAATCATCACTATAATCGACAAATAAATTTTGTGGAAGTGGAAAATGTTTGTTAATATCCGTTGGCAAGAGTTTAGTAATCCATGAAATTAAACTTGATGCAAGTTTCCAATGTCGCCGATGAACAAGACTTTCCATATTAATGACATGCTTTTCGAAACGATTGAGAAATGGTGGATCGCATTTTACTAGATCTTGTTGTCGAACGAAAACGACACAATAGAAGTTTTCATGAACGAGACAACGTGGATGATAGAGAGGACCCAGTGGAATACGACAATATTGTTTATTTCCAGAAACGGCAAAGCTCTGATTGAATAAATCATAAAGATTATCATAGAGATGACCCATTCGACGCATGACTAATGTTACTGGAGTTTCAGCATAGAGAATAATATCCATCAATACTCGATAATTGTATTGTTCTGTATAGGCAGTACCTTCCACTAAATCACCTGAAAAACTACTACCGATTAGAGTACGAACTGGAGGTGGTTGAAATTTGTTGATGATGTATTGTTCGGCATAATCAATAACACTTTCATTTTCACCGATTAACATCAAATATCGACCAGTGCGTGATGACATACATTGATCCAGGATTTGATTGAATGTCGGTGATACTTTATATTGTTCATATAAATACACTTTATTCAAATGTTGACAGAAATGTTCCCACATGTAATGTGATCCATCGAAACTACCGTCGAAATTGACTGTTATTTGTCGTCGAATTTTCTCGTATATATCATCATCTTCTTTCCATTGAACTAGTTCACGAATAACACCTTTAATTAAGGAATAAAAATCACGTAAACCAAAATAATTGTTATATTGTGGTTGTACTCTAATGTGTTCGTATAAATCAAAATAGGCTGCTGCAAGACTATCGATAATTTCATTATCAATTCGTGCAACTTGATCTTGAGTAGATGTCATTGATTTTAAAATTGTTTTTGCCGTTAATTGTAAATCAGTAACATCAGGATCGGGACCAGCAAGATAGAGAGCACGATTCATTTTTGATGCAT